AACTACTATTCCTTTCACGTATATTGAAGTAAAATAATATTTTGTATAGAGATTTTAAGTAGTTTATTAAACAATGAACAATAAAATGAGAATGAGTGTACACAGGAAATCCTTTGGGTTATTAATGTATTTAATGTTTTTCCCATGTCTTTGAATGACAAATGTTAATGTTTCTATTATGATTAATAATTTAATTAGCATATGTGATACCTCCCCAGACGCTTAATTATCAAGTGTATCATCATAGTTTCAAAATAGACGTGACAGCTATTGACTCGAAATTTGCTTTATTGAAAACTTCCATAATGTACTTTTGTATGACAGATTCTACTAGATTAATATTTCTGTCATGAATGAATTATTCCAGGATAATAAGCAACAGTATTTTCTATGCCTGTGTTAAATAATAGCACACACACAAAAAAGCATTATGGTGTATTATTGCCAAAATGCAGTTTTGAAAAGCTGGTTCAAAATCTCAATTTTTCTTTGTACACCAGGAAAAACTTCTGTAATCTACAGGTTCCAATTATTTACTGAACTTCAATTTATATCATGAAGGAGAGAGCACACAATGGAGAAAGATGAAATCTTTGAAGCCAAATCTATGCTTAAATCTTAGCCCATCACTTTCCAAGTGGCATGGATTAGCCAGTTGCTGTCTTTGAGCCTCAGTTTTCTAATCTTTATAACGGTGATAATCATGCTTCCTATAGGATTATTTTGAAGTAAGGCACCTGATTCATTGCAGGAGTTTAGCAAGTGGTAACTTATGATTACAGTTCAGATACTATGGTCAGGAAGCAATATGACAAGTGATGCTCATGGGTTTCTGAGCATATTCACTTTATTCTGAGATGGGAAATAGATATATTTATTTAAATAGCATGCTTTTAATTATACCATTATATAATATACATAATTATACTATGCTATCACTAAACACAACCACACACACACATACCCCCCCACATTACTACAGAAAAACTAATCTGTACAAAAAGTTTATACTTCACTCTTCTAAAATTTCCAAACCACATTTCATGTACCTCTTTGTCCTATTTGGTATGCCCTACAGTTATAAAATAGTAATTATTGCCACCTCTATTTTATCTTGTTAAAAGAAGCTTATTACCTAAGATTGCATATGAGTTGTGGATATATCTAAGTTTTTCTTACTCATCTTTCGCTATCTCAGGGTAATACTCTACAGTCGTTTCTATAAATATATGATTATTTCTAAGGATTCAAACCTGAGTCACATAAATAACATAGTTAAAAGCCGCATAAAGAAAATATACTACTCATTTGTGGCAACCATCATCCAAATATTGCTGATTTATAGTGCCATTTTTCATTTTGAGTTTTTATTGACAATTCACAAATCAGTTTTTTAAAACATATGTAAAGCCTGTCTATGAATCTCCTTTTTGTTTTTTTGTTTCCTCAGAATATAATTTGCTACATTATAGGTTCAAATAGCTATCTTTATATTAAAATTATATATTTTTAACGTTGTAACATTGAAGAGTCTCTATTGAAGATGGATGTTGACTACTAAACTAAAGAAATTCAGAGTGAAAACTTCAAGATTCTCCAAAGAGCCTAGAGTCATCTCCAATGATATTGTTCCTTGGCAATAGAAATTACTTAATGGTAAGTCAGCCTGTCATTAAAAAAAAAAAAAAAAAAAAAAAAAAGTCTGTACTATGTCACAGATTTGAATTAACATTCCCCCAAAGTCATCTTGCAAATTTACATGGCTCCAAAAAAGAATGTGGATGATACTCTTCAAAGCAGCCTTGTTACTAGAGACACAAAATACACCAAATAATGTCTTTCGATGATAGTGTGGCTATTATAACTGTTTTGTTCAACAGCATATATGTTTATTTTTTTCAAAAAAAACTATGAAATAATTTATGTGAGCAAAAGGCAGTAAGAATTCACATAAATAATTCAGATGATAATTTATCAACAATTGGTTATTCTTTGTGTACTCTTTATCTGGGTAAGAAATGAAGTTATAATATCATGGAATGTGTGATTCCTTCTTATAGTAGGGCTATACTCATTCAGAAATAAAATTTTAGTATGTATAGGTGTAATTTTGATACATCAATTAAAAGCTAACATCAATATTTTACCTGTTCTAAAAAGTGAATGTTTTAAAGTTGTGATTAACAAGACCAGGTTTTTATATCAAATATTTCATCTTGTACTATGTACTGATATGAGAGAGATCTGGAAGTACCCCTTGGAATGAACATCATGTAGATAATATAGTTTATTACTTTCATAACCAATAAAATGCATGTTAATTTATATCTTCATAAATTTTTGAAATCCAAAGCAAATAAAAATGCAGAAACACAAAAACACTTTAAGCTTATGTTCAGTATTCTATAAAATAATTAGAAAAATTAAAAGCTTATAAAAGAAAGTGGAATAAGAATTTAATTGAGAAAATGATAATGCCAGCCCAAAGCTGCACTAAAATTCTGAATAAAACATGGCTACTGCAATTGGACCAGGCTTCTTTATGAAGTTGTTTCTAATTCTGAAGCCACATATGTGCAGTCACAAGTAATGTAGAAAGTGTTACCATGGTAAGTACACATTTTTTCTTGTATAGACAATTTTTTTTCTTAAAAATGTATAAAGAATTCTCACCTCATAAGTTATGAAAATTGACTGTTTTCCTTATCATTACATATTAGTATGATGCAATGCAGCATAAATATAAATAATCCACTTTTAAAAACTTTAGCCTAGTAAGATGGATTATAAAACATTCAGTGAAAATGAAATAAGAAATCTCAAGTCAGGTAACTCTAAATGTTGGGTTGTAAACAAGTCATATCTCTGCTAAATCAATAAATATTCTGGCCTCCGGACATTTTTCACAGGCCTGAGACACTTCAGGAGTTCAAACACAATCACTAAACACACTCCCAGTATATTTTAGTCCTATGACTCTTAAGGAAAAATAAAATCATTCCTACATCCCTACTTTCCCATATATATATATATATACACACACACACACACGCATACACACATACACACACATATATATATGTGTATATATATATGTCTCGAGGTAGTTCCTTTATAGTCCAGGAAGTAAATTCAAGGAAACCTGGATGGAGGCGTGACACTTGGACTGGGGAGGTGGTGTAATCTGTTGCGAATCACAGCAGGTTCTGAAGTGCTGGGGAACCCACGTGTGCAGGGGCTGGAGAACTTTTCCACCGCATCTCCCAGAAGAATTGCCTCATTTCAATACAGGGGGCTGACTGGAGCAAGGGGTGGGGGTGAAGGGTGGGCGGTTAAAAAAAAGGCAGAGGCGAAGCTTTCAAACCGTTCACGCATATCTACCTCTGCTTATTTTCCCTCTATTTCGCCTCCGATCAACTTTATTATTTTTCCCCTTTTTATAGGAGGACTTAAGCAATCGGGATGTTGAGCATCTCATAGGCTCAGGCTGGAACAAAGAAAATCGAGTTCCTAATACTGTATGTCTCCCGTTGGAGGGATCACGTGTCCTGCTTTCGCTGGAATGCACTCTTCTCGCCCACGCTATAAAAATCTCTATTGTGCTTAGAAATTTCGCTTAGGTTAGAATATGCTCACATAAAATTGCTTTTCATCCATCAGAAGAACCACATTTCGACATATACAGATACAAATTTATTTACCTGCTGACCCAGTTACCACTGCAGGTAAATTCGATATGTTGAAAGAGTATTGGAAAAGTAATCAAAAAGAGCAGGTAGAGTACCCTTGTGTCTTACCGGTCCCCACCCCACCGCTTTTTTTTTTTTTTTTTTTTGATATTAGTGTGTTTATTTTAGGTCTTTCTGATTTTTTTGTTGTTTTTTTTTTTTTTTTTTTTTTTAAATAATCTCCTTTGAAGGAGAACTTCGAAAGGAACGTGGGAGTTGCAGATGGCTCCTTTCTGAAGCTGATTCCCGGGAGTTGGGAAAGTGACCCCTTCTTTTTCCTGCCTTGCGCTGCACCCTCTCGCCCAACCCGCTAGCTTTGTGACTTGATGGGGAAGAGACAGACAGGGAAGAGTGGGAGGAGAGGGCGGAGGCGGGTCCTTTATTCAGCCCTGATGGCCGAGAAGTAGTGTAAGGAAGCAGTCTTGCAGCCATCTCCGTTATAATGAAGTCACACTATTTTAAAAGGCAATCTGTACCGTCCCCCAACCCCCACCCCCATTCTTGACTCTGCAAACAGTAAGACTAGAGACCACCGGTAGCCAATGTAATAGTCCGCCGCGAGCCAGGGTGTCATAATTACCTTAATGCTAATGTGCTTCCCTCCCTCTTTCCACGTAGGATCCGAAACACGTCCTGCATCCTTAATAACTCGGAGAGGAGGACGCAAGATTCTCAAGGGGATCCAGGGCTGGATTGGGAATAGGCAGGTTCACCAGCTTCTCGTGCCACACAAAGGAGATGTGTGGGCAGGAGTTGTCTAGCTGATGGGGAGGGAGGCAAGGTTCTCCCTGACTCCCAGGGAACGCGCTCCCCCACTTCTTTTCCTCCTCCAGTCTTTCATGCTCCTTAGTCCTCTCCATCCCCCCAAACCCCACCCTTTCCCTTCAATCCAATGACAAAAAAAAAAAAAAAAAAATCTTCTAATTCTATTTTTTTCAAACAGACATCGAGACATTGATACAACACCTTCCAAGATAAAGAGACAAGTGCGTCCTGCCACAAGTGTGTGTGAGTGTGAGTGTGTGTCACGACCAAACATGCGCTTCATCCCTCAGACACCTCTGGGAGAAAAGCTGACTGGAGATATCCAAGATAATAACGAGGAGCTAAACCTAATTTCAGATGAACCAATGGTCCCAGCACCAGCGCCCAGCATTTACCTTTCCTTTTCGCAGTATGTAACCCTTTAAGGTCTCTTGCCAGCTCAATCTACTCGGTGCTCCCATGCACCCGCCCGGTTAGCACCCCATTTCCAAATGCTCTGCAAGCTACCACATCATCGCCGCCTCCGCAGGCCACCGCACGAGCAGCTCCCCGCGAGCCTCGAAGCCTCCCGCCCTGCCACCCCCCCGCCCTCGGCCGGCCTCTGGGGTCCCACACCTCGCGCGCCTACAGTCACCGCGGCCGCACGCGGCTGGGCCCCCGCAGCACCCTCCGCCACGGAACGAGCGTGCCCTACTCACATCGCCGGCGGGAGAAACTGCCCATGAGGTTCCGGAGAGCGTAGCCGTGCAGCTGCCAACGGTTATTCCTTAAGTGTTCAGGTGTCCGCAGTAGAGTGGGCGCCAGGGTCCTCGAAGGAGGAGGAGAGGAGGGAAGGAGTAGACGGTAGGAAGAACAGGAGACTGAGGGGAATCCAGGAAGGTGTCACGTTAGACCATGATGCCGGTGCCCTTCAGGTGGACGGCTGGAGAGGTTCCCGCGGGAAGCCGCCGAGGGGAAGCCCGAAGGGCTAGCGGGGGAGGCAGGAGCGCGTCCACTCCCCAGCCTCAGCCTGCCCTGCGCGCCGCGCTAGCGACCGCGGCAGCAGCGGCGGCGGCGGCTGAGGCGCAGCTCCTTCCCCACCCCCAGAAGGCTCCACAGACAATAAATCCTGGGCGGAGAAGAGACGAGCAGGAAAGGCGAATCCTGCACCCAACTCCGTAACAACCCCTGCCGGTGGCCGCGCCTGTGCCGGGCGAGGATCCCCAGGGGCCAGGGCGCAGCGGGCGTCTTGGGGGGGCTGAGCGCTCCGCGGCTGCAGGCGGCTGTGGCGGTGGCCCGAGTGGGCGGCTGCAGGTCCCGCCGGCGAGAACCCACTGCACAGGGGCTGGGTGTCCGTAGCTTCAAGCCCGGTGTTCGTCCGGAGTGGGGTCTTCCTCAGTGCAGTGGCTCAGCGCACAGGTGCCAGGATTGGCAGGCGAGGAGGCGCTGCTCGCGGCTCTTGGCTGTGTCTCCCCGCTCTCCCCGCCCCCTCTCTTTTTTCCCCACCCCCTTTTCCGACGAAACCAGCTGCAGCTGCTTCAAAGTGTGAAAAATGTCAAGGAGATTTTCCAGTGATAGGAGGGGGTAACCATGTTCACAGCCCTCGGCCCCTTTTTGAGGTCCTCGCCCCTCTGACCTCTACTCGGGCTCCCCCAAATTATGAGAAGAGATATCCCAGTCCGGCGGAGAATTGAAACGATAGCTTTCTCCTGGCTCAGTCACCACAGGCTGCTTTTCGAGAACCGGACGAGGGGCCGAGCTCTCAGGGTTCCTCTTGTCTCCCTTGTTGTTCGAGGCAGGTGGCACGAATCTCAGCGCCGGGCGGAGCGCGGCCGTGGGCTCCTCCAGCTCGCGGGCCAGCCCCAGGCGCTCCGGCAGCGCGGCGCGGCGCCCTGCAGCGCGGCCGCCTGGGCGGCAGAAGCGGCTCCCGGCCTGCGCGCCCTCCCGCGCGCCCCTGCACCCGCACCAGCTCAATGAGGCTGCGCTCGCGGCTCCTCAGGAAGCTGCTCCTGCTATCTCAGCAAAGAGGCGGCCGGGAGCGCCTCCTCGGGGTTTCCTCCCCCGCCCGCCTTGCCTGCTGCAGGTTGTTGACTGCCAAGGAGAAAAGTCTCTGCTTGTGCGTCAGGTCGCTTCACATCAGTTACCGCATGGACCCTTGTGCCTGCTCTCAAGTCGTCTCCTCATTCTGGGGTTGCGGCGGCTGCCCTGGAAGTGCACAAAAAGAGAAGGGGTTTCCCAACTTCCCTTCATCTATTCACCGCCCCTCCTCCTGCCATGAACGTTCTCTGTCTCTGACTGACACACACACACACACACACACACACACACATACACGCACGCACTCATATACTCTCTTAAATAAAGGCACACACACTTTCTTCTCATACACTTCTCTAAAGTCTCATAAGTAGCAAGACATGTTGATGAAGCTAATACTATTTACACTTTTTTTTTTTTGAGACGGAGTTTCTCTCTTGTTGCCCAGTGCAATGGTGCAGTCTCGCTCACCGTAACCTTCACTTCCCGGGTTCAAGCGATTCTCCGGCCTCAGCCTCCCGAGCAGTTAGGATTACAGGCGCGCATCACCACATCCGGCTAATTTTTTGTAATTTCAGTAGAGGCGGGGTTTCACCATGTTGCCCAGGCTGGTCTCGAACTCCTGACCTCAGGTGATCCACTTGTCTCAGCCTCCCAAAGTGCTGGGATTACAGGCGTGAGCCACCGTGCCCGGCCTGTATTTACACTTTTATTCTCTACATACATCCAATGAATTAAAAATGTGTATATTATGCTGGTGTTCTTTCATGGAATATAGGCTATGTGGTTTTTGTTTCTTTATTACAAGAGAAACAATTTTGTCTTCAGTTCTCTAATCTCGAATACAGTCAAGACTGTACACAGCATTCAAATGCCACTCTGGGGTGTATGTAAGCTTGCAGTTTACCAAAAGAAGATACACCTAATTGTATTCTTAGCTTTGGAATGCCAACGTTTTCAAGGTCAAAAATCATCTTTCCTGGCTGCTAGAAATCGTCTAGAAAGAGACTTGAGAGACTGGCGTCTAATGTGCAGAGGACATAGAAAGGGATTATTGCCCACTTTATCTGTGCCATGGAGGTGGGCTGACTTTTAAGGACACCTTGCCAGTGCTTCACATCATTTGCATATAGAAAGGAAGAGGAGTATATTTTGAAAAGCAAGATCATTTTTTATAGTGTTACAAAACACCAAAAGAAAGGGTTCTGAAAAATAGCAAGGAAATGGAATAAAATTGTTAAAAGAATTTTTTGAATTGACCACTATCGTGCTCTATTTTTTTCACCTACAATGTTGTCCTTGTAAACATTTTGCCACATCTCAGTGTCTCAGGTGGATGGAGTGACATGAAATATTTTAGGGGCTGATTAAAAATCTATTGACAAAATAACCTGGCACAACAATTACACAATTATAGCAGTCCTATATGGGTTTCCAGTTCTTTTGAATACAATCATCACAGTACTTTCCCATATATTCTTTCATTTAATCCTTTCCTAAATCTAGGTGGTGGATAATCTAATTCACACTTATAGAAAGTGCTTAAAGGCTCATCTCATAAGGGTATCTAGTAGCCCTGCACTTGAACCCAAAATTTCTTATTTTAACTTCAGATTTCATTCTTTCGTATCAAAATATTTGACGAAAATTCTTCTGTTTAATCACAGCCAATTATGAGTAACCGCAGATCCTTGCAAACAGGTAGCATATCTACCAATGAAGTTACCTTCTGTGTGATAAGTGGAAGTAGTTTCCTAAGTGAAAACAAACATATTCCTTTCCAATGGAGAAAAATATAATTTTTGGAATCCCAAATTAAAAATTGATGGTGCTGATATAACACATTTCAAATTACATGTCTTCCTTTCCCCTTTATCTTGTGCCAGAATCTTGATTTGGGACCAGAAAGATCAAATGGATAAAATATTTTAAATATTTTCAGATGTCCACCTAATGGCTATGGGTTTTAACAAACATGATTACAGCCTTAAAAAGTAGGAGAAGGTACCCTTTTTAGAATAAGCTTTGAATACAATGGCTCCATTTTTTTTTTTGTAAGATTTTTGAATCTTTAACAAAATCTGGCCACCTTTACTATTTAAACAATGAGACATATTGAAGAGATTTCAATGGTTCCATAGAATTATGGAACCATTGAAATGTAAATGCAGGTGCTGTCTTTAAACTGCAAGCTGCCCTGTCATCAACCCTCTGGAAATGCAGATGACTGTCTAAAAATTGGAGAAAGATGTTGTTAATCAACTTCTTTGAACAACCTACTACTAAAATCTTTGAAATGATAATGGTTCTTAGGATAAGCAAAGACTAACCTTATTTGAAAATAAAACTCATGTGGTGGTACTAAACAAAAAGATGCCAAATATCTTCTAATATTTCTCTTTTGATGCCTGAAATGTTACCCTTGTCTTAAAAGATATCCTCTTTGACAATTACTCATTAAAATAAAACTACTTATAGAGAGGATAACACTTTTAGTTTTGAGTTGTTAATATCTTAATAGGATTGGTTTAATTAGATTCTGGTAATTGGGGACATAGAAAACATTACAAAATTTTTATTTATGAAGATGAAGGTCTGAAAACCTCAGAGACAGTAGAGCTTAGTAAGACGGGATCAGAATGAGTGGGGTACCATAAGGGTAGAGAGTGATGCTTTGTTGTTAGTTTTTGAAAAGCCAGGTGGAGGTTTTGAATAGAAAATGGAGGTAGGTCATTAAGATTTTTCTTCAAAAGAATTTGTTAGACGGCTTTTACTATGAAATTGACCTCTCAAATTAACAATCTGTTCTAGCTAAAGAAAATTCTTCTTTATTGTGGATTTTAATTCATTTGGATAATTATTTTTTAAACAGTAATTTGCCTGTTTAAGATGAAAAAATACAGTGAACACTGATATACCCATCATGCCCATTAAGAAAGCATTATGGATATGACTAAAGCCTCCTCTCCTGTGCCTCTATCTCTGTCCACCCCCTTCCCCTATACACAAAAGGTAATCTCATTTCTAAATTTTATATTTATTTGTACATTTAAACATTCATGCATTTTATACACTTTTACTACTAACAATATTTTTTGTATTGCTTAGCATAGTTAACCCTCATATAAATAATACAGTATGCATTCATTTGCAACTTGCTTTTGCTTTTTAAAATATCAACATTATGTAAATGAGAATGATTCATCTTCATGTATGTAACTCTGGTTGACTGATTTTTAATGTGGCATAATAGTTAATTGTATAAACATCATATTTATGTTCTGATGACAGTTTTTACTATTATAAGTAATGCTCTTGGGAACGTTTGTTTATATCTCTTTATGAATGTACATAAGAATATTTCTAGTTTATGTATCACCTAGGAGTGGATTTCTGCTTTAGGGTATAATACAGTCAATATTAAATTGTTTTTCACATGGCTTACAGTTTTATTAGGATTTGTAAAAGTTTCTGTTGGTTCACACCCTGGCAATACTTGGTATTATCAGATATTTTCATGTTGTCCAGCCTAAGGGTTGAGAAATGATACTTTATTAAGGTTCATATTCACATTTGTTT